GGTCTGGAGGACAAGTCTTATGAGGAGCGGCTGAGGGAACTGGGGTTGTTTAGCCTGGAGAAAAGGAGGCTGAGGGGAGACCTCATTGCGCTCTACAACTACCTGAAAGGAGGTTGTAGCGAGGTGGGTGTCGGTCTCTTCTCCCAAGTAACTGGCGATAGGACAAGAGGAAATGGCCTTAAGTTGCGCCAGGGGAGGTTTTGATTGGCTATTAGGAAAAATGTCTTCACCGAAAGGGTTATGAAGCATTGGAACAGGCTGCCCAGTGAAGTAGTGGAGTCACCATCCCTGGAGGTATTTAAAAAACATGTAGATGTGGTGCTTAGGGACATGGTTTAGTGGTGGACTTGGCAGTGCTAAGTTAACGGTTGGACTTGATGATCTTAAAGGTCTTTTCCAACCTAAATGATTCTGTGATTCTATAAGAAGAAAGCAAACCTGTCTTCATTTGCATCAACAGCTAAAGCAAGCCAAGATTTGGAGAAGTAGCATTTGCATTTATTGCCAGCCCTGACTGCTGCCAGTGCAGAAAGCTCTTAAGTATTCTTTTAATGTTCTGCTTTTCCTTCCTCCATAATGCCACCTGCATGTGTGTGCCCATAATAATAAGCATCACCCATGATCTTCACTAATACTCCTCTTCTACAGTATCTTCTCATCTTGATGGAACCAGTCCTCACCCTTGCTGCTGCCCTTTTGCTGGCTTTTCAAGCACTAAAATAAATGCTCATCCTTTGGCCAGGGGAGACCGTGCCTTTTTCAGTCACAGAAGAAAAAAAAACAAACCCAAAATCCTTAAGAAATGGGAAACAGTTATATAGCAGAATACAGTGGTATTAAAATTAACCTCATTAGGAGAGTCTTGCTCAGCTTTGTAATGTTATCTTTTCCTTTTTTTATCAGCCTCAAATATTTTGTGTATTAGACTATATTGTAGCTTCTTAGCTAGATATTGCCAGAGTTGCAATTTGTAAAAGATTACAAGCTATTTCCAGCAACTCAGAGAGGCATCAAGTCTTGAATTACAAGATCCAGACACTGCTGTCTGTATGACAGCTTTTCAGAGACAGGTATGAAAGTTCATCTGGAGAGGATGTGAAAGGAAATTGTGTTCTGCTGAGGAACTGTAATTCTGCAGAGATGTGTTACTTTTATTCACTGCTCTTGAGCCTGACTTTCGGACAGATCCTCTGGAAACATGATGTGGGCAAGTCGCAGCTCCATCTATCAGGAGTTCCCTTTTCTCTTTCCAAATACCTCTGTCTCTCTTGCTGTTTTATAATGTGGAGCAGGAATACAATCTTAAGCAATAGTACTGATTGCAGGTGTGAAACTGCAGAAGCACCACCATAATCACAAGTCCTTTGTTGCCGCCTGTTACATTGCTCTGGGAGCCGGGCACAGGTCACAGCAAAGCAGCTGAGCTATGTGGGGTCTGCACTGGGGACAGCCCAGGTAGCCTGAGAGCTCTGCCTCCTGGAAGATCTCCCCTCAAAGCGAAGTTCAGCATGGGCACGGATAGCCCTTACTTCAGCATGCTCGAGCAGGGCTGTGAGCTGTATGGGCTACCAAAGAATGTAGGAGGGAAGCTATAGAAGGATTTGATACCTCTAAGCTCTCCTAGGGCTGGAAAGACATTTTGCAGATACTCTTTATTTTCTGGGGGGGGGGGGAAACCAAACCCCAAGCAACAACCCTTTCCACCTAAACAAGGAAAACAACTTTTTCTAGCTTGTCAGGCTGTATATCTGCACGCTCCATAATCCCAAGTCCACTTGTTTTTTGCCACATCCCAAGCTTTGACCTTCAGTACACAGCAAAAGGAAGGTGGGTACAAAAGTAGTTCTTACCCAGCAGACCTGGTGCTGGAGAAGGTGCTTACTGGTGGCTCTCCTCCTACTACCTCACTCCTTTAATCATGCACCCAGCAGGAGATCTGCCCATCTTTGAGAGTGCACCTTTCTGGGAGCTTGTGCTCACCTGTACAGAGGGCCTCTAGCAAGAGCAGCTTCCCGGCTTAAAATGAAACCACATGATGTGGAGTTCGACAGCTTCTGTTGCCTGTCAAACATCAGCTGAGTGCCACTGCAGGTTGACTTCTTGTGACATGGCATGTGGAGAAGAGCCTTTGAGTCCTTCCTAGTGAATAGGGCTTTGCTCTTCCTGAAAGTTGTGTTTATTTCCTAAGCATCTACTTTGGATGAGTTTGTGCTGGTTTTATACTATTGAACTGTGTGTAGTTGATGGGCAAAGTTTTTATTTCATATTCAAAGCAAGATTTATTTTTTGCAGCTGCCTCAAAAGAATCTGTCTCTGGTCCAGGCCATACACAAGGCTTAAAAATGACAAAAGTGGAAAAAAACCCTAGCAGAGCAGATTGCATAAAGCAAGTGTATTGAGACGTATGTGTCAGTGTCTTGCACATTGACAGAATTTGATGTGAAAAAGAAGACCTTCGTTAAAACTGTTGAAATAGCCAAAGCCATTGGAACAACCAGCGGGAATAACACTGAGTGGAAGAAAGAAAAGGGCAGAAAAGATGCTTGAGGTGTTTTTAAAAGTGCTCTGTCTCTAGCTGGGTATAGATTTTCACGTTCAATGACAAAGTGTTTAGGTGGTCTGTTCTGTTGCTGACTGCTGGCAGAAATGGAAGAACGCAAAAGGCTCCTGAACTGTCGTCTTTTGTTACCCTTATGCTTATTGAGAAAAATCTGCTGGAAGGTATTTTCTTTTTTTTCTTCCCTTTTTTACCTTCCGGTTTTTAGAGAGGGGGCTCGAATGTTGTCCAAAAAGAAAAGCTTCTTGTTTTACAAATACAGCTAGAGAGTACAGTGATTTGGTCTCAGTTTGATTTCATTGGCTGCTTTTTTCTCTTGTGCTTGTATTTAAATACTTGTTTTGCTCCATTTATGAGACTTCAAAGTGCAAGTGAACAAATGTGGAAATAACCTTTGTATTTTAATATGCGTGTTAGTAAAGCCTGATTCAGAAAGCAGAAATCTGAGTAGTGGAAATCATGTCGCATTACACTGTTACCAGGTACACTTCAGCCTTTTCGTTCTGTTCCAGGCTGAATTTATATTCAGAGATGAAATGTTCTGTAAAATTGCTGAATGGCTTTTCAGCCTTTCCTGGTGTGGTTTTTTTTGAAGCCACATGTTTGAGAGTGGGGTGTATAGCGTTCTCTGCCTGCAGCCTGTCCTTTACTTTGTAAATTTGGATTCTCATAATCAAGTTCTTGCTTATGTGAAGTGCTCTGTGTGTTTTGATGGCAATTCTAAATGCTTTTGAGCAGTGGAATGAGGTTAGATACAAAATGGGAGACGGGTTTCTCCATCTCTTGTGAAGACTACTATAAAGTAATTGAGCCATCAACCTGCCATGTTAGGAGTGGGACAGAATATTTGTTCCAAATTCTTTACCTGATTTAGGTGTGTATGCTCATAGCCTGGTGTTGTGGGTTGGGTTTTTTTCTAATTTATTTTAATTTGATTGAAAGCACAAGACTGTTGTCAGGAAAGTGAGCTCTAGGCTAATACATACACTAGCATTAAGTCAGGCTTTGGGTAGATCTAACGTCTTCGGTGTGTACACAGTGGACTAGGAGTTTGCAGCCTCTTTGATGAACAGAAGTGCAGTTTTTTAGCATTGGTAGGGCATTGCAAATTAGTGGTGTATCTGTAAGTAACATGTTCTGATTTTGATGTACTAGGTTTTCTTTGCCTAATTCCCCACACGGTGGAACAAATCTTTTCTTGACCAGCACGGATATGTAAACCTTTTCAAGATGGTTAAGAACCATGGTGAAGAACCAAGTGGAATGACAAGTGAGGAAACTTACTTTTACTTCTAACTAATTCTGCTGCCATTATGTTATTTCTTTACCTCATGTAAGTCAGCTTTTTTAGATGAGAAATCAATAGCTGAAATCAAGTAGGTATTCTTATCCTTAGGAAGACTTATATTTGAGCTCAACTTGGCATGTTGGGTAAAATGTTAGCTGTGCTTAATCTACTAAAAACAATTATGTGTATTGCTCAGTGTTAAAACTTTGCTTAAAGTTGTATCATCTGTGAGTAAAATACCAATTCTAATTTCTGTTCTGATCATTCCTTTGTCAGGAGGGAGCATCCACTTCTGTTGACGTCTAATTTGTGTGTTTGAAAGTATGGTTTCCTGATAGAAAAGTGCATTGTATTTTTTAACAGCGGATCTTTATTAAATGTGCCATCAGCGGTGGTTTTGGAAAGATGAGAAGGGACCTACTGTGGGGCAACTCAGTGAAGCTGAAAATGTAAGTTCTATGCTATTACTATTTTATTTGAATTGCAAATACAGATTTTTTTTTTGTTTCCGGTCTCCAGCACGTCAGTATATATGTGTGTTTTTTAAAAGCCAGAAGATTCAAATGAACATTACATGATAAATATTTTATGTAGTTTGAAATTTAAAAATTGTTTAAAAACCCCAAAAAGCAAAACCAAAAGCAAACCAAAACAAACAAAAAACCCCAATCCCAAACCCAACCTCTTTTATACGTATGGAGTTAACTTCCTTAAATTGATCAGAGAAATTTAAAAACATATACAAATCAGGCAGCTTTGGTCATATTGGTTGAATGTTACATTGTGTCAAGGCTGGAGGCTTTCTTTGTCCTTAAAAAAGGAAGAGAAGTAATATTGATAACTTACTTGTCCTTTGAACTTGATGACAGTTAAACCAGAAATGTCGCATGCGGCTGTAAACCTTAAGTAGTGGTTAGAATGTTTTTCTGGTCTGTTTGCTTAAAAAATAAGTTCTTGTAATGACTTTGAAAAAATATATTTACTGCTGATTGTTTCCCAGTGCAGTATCTCTGATTTAAAGAGCTTTGTGAATACTTTGATATCAGCCATCTAACTCACTTAAAAAGTAGTTTAGACTCACTTAAAAAGCAGTTTAGTATATTTCTTCCTTTATTATGTGTTCTGTCTCTTCTTGAATACTGTTTCCTTCTCTTCCTATACTTGAGATTGTATGCGTAATAGGACTTGCAGTCAGTCCACTTGAGAGTTTTGACACAACTTGAAAATGCAAGCTACCATGTGTGGTTTCTAAGATGACATCTGAGTGTAAAAGACGTATAAGATGTGTCAGGACTTCATCAGATCTTTATTCAGCAACTGCAGATACGTTTTCATACTACACTGAAAATAAAACAAAAATGCACATCTCAAGCCTCAGATTTACATTGCTTTTCCAGAAAATTTAGAACAGTCAGATGGTGCCTAATACTGTTTTACAGTAGCTTTTGTTTGATTTTGTAAAAATACAGTTCTTCAACAATATATAGCGGTTCTTAGAAAGCAGGGGGGAATTTCTAGCTTTTGCTATGGAAGACAAAAGATGTGTAGCTGGACAAATTTAATGTAGCCTCAGTGTAAACATGACTCGTGCCTTTTAGCTTAATTTTAGAAAATGTATTTGTAGCCTGATTATTTTTAATTTCTTCAAAGTTCTAGGAGAATTCTTCACAGCAAGTTTGCTGATAGAACAGTACTGGTTAGCAACGTGATGGCTTGTGTATGACAAGTCTATGTTTGCAATTATTTCCTAACATAAATGAAATCTTAGAACTTTTAAAAATAACAGATTTGGTTTTAGAGGGACTTGAGGATTTTTTTCCCCCTTAGATTTTTTTGTTTGGATGGTTTAAATGTTTTGAATTCTTTAGATTATATGTCATAAGAAAGAGTACACTTTGAATTTTTCTAAGGACAACTTAAAATTAAGTTAAAGTTACAGTTTGGTTTACCTATGTGGGAGCCTGGAGGGTTTGGGGTTTTTTTTTTTAATATTTTTTTCCCCTTAATGTGAGGAGTCTGACCAGAATGACTATTATACTCCCGCTATTTTGGGTTAATTTCTTTTATGGACAGTTGTATTAATGAAAATAAAATGGACCCTTTTGGAACATGTGTCTGCAAGGGAATGACTTGATTTAAATTCACTCCATGCTTTATGGAAGAATTTTCTTCTATATTTTCCTCAGACTGTAATGTTGTATCAATTAGTTTATCAATTTAGTTACGAGAGTGCAAAAACTGGAGAGAGAGGGGGGAAAAAAGCTTGCATATTTTTCCTCTTCTGTATAACCGACAGACACTTTGTATTTGTTGGAAACATTGGTCATCTTTCTTCCTTTCCCCTAGGAAATTATAAACACATTCTTAGAACTAGTTTATGAAATGTTTGGTTTTCCTTTCACTGGAAAGGAAGGTTGAATGTTGTTAGTAAGATGCTGGGATTGAGACTTGAGATCTCGGTCCATCCTCTTGCTGTGCCAGGTCGGCCACTTCTCTACACTTCATTGTTCTGTCTGTCAAACAGAAAAGAAGAATGTGTTGCCTTAGGTTGATTACGTCGGTGCCTGCCTGTTTCTGTAGTGACTGGCTTTCCTGTAGTGGATGCTGATCTCTGGCTATGTGTGTCTGTGCCTACAGAATGTCTGCGATGCATCCATCTAGCTCCTTAGGGGTAGCAGTACTGGAACAGGCAACAGCTGAGGCTCATAATCTACCATCAGAAATAAACTGGCCAGCTAGAAAGATGATGATGTTAAAGCACCCTGACCTGACAAGTCTACTTTTTCTCTTCTAGGTTAGTAGGGTTTGAAAATTACGTTATTTTGTAGAGAATGCTGGTATCTTAATAGCTCTTTTATTTCTGAGATTGCTTAATTTGGAAGGTAGTTTTTATACGGGCAGATTTTTGTACATATGCTTGTTGTGGTAGTTGAAATAAATTGGGAGGAGATCCTTAATGTCAGGAGGTATGTATTTCTGAAGAACTGTGAGTGAAGAGGTGCTTGTGGATTTTGTTTTGCTTTGTTTTTAAAGGTGAAGTTGAGACTGCCACAGGAGTATTGTTTTTCATCAGTGCTGAAATGAAACAGCTGTTTGCTCTAATTGGATGTGTGTCCAACAGCAGTACCCAGAACTGACTAGCGAACCTCCGAGTATATTGCAGCCTCTGGCTAATTGTCTAGAATTCCCTTTCAGTGTGTTCAGCTGAGCCCTGCTCTTCTAAATCATTATGTTATTACAACTCAATTTTCATCTTGGGGGAGAAAAAAACACCTCATCCACAGCAAACTACAGGCTGATTCATATTATGTTATCCAGAACTAACGAATATAGCTGACCTGCAAGTCTGGCTATTGGGTTATTCAAAATTATTTCCTTTTAAATAGTAAACTAATTTTCAAAAAGAGAAACTTGAATATCTGAAAAGGCAAGTCCCTAGATAAAATCCTCTGTAAAGTTCAGGGCATGCTCTTAAAAGCAAGTGAAAATTATTCCTTTCAGCTGAGCATGTTAGTGTTCTCCTTTATGTAATACAGTAGTGTGCTTTGTATGTGCGCAGGCATCTATTTTTATATACTTTTATTGGGCTTGGTAATATCAACGGAAGATATCGTCCAGGAATCTGTCCAGGAATTTCATTGAAAATACTGTGGTAAACAACGGAGATTCTGTCAAAATATCTGTCTGCGATACTGGCCATGGTAAATACCTTATTTAAATGAAATCCTGGGCAATGCTGATCTATGTTTTTGATACGTTTAACAATTTCTATAATTTTACTAAGAAGTTAGATGGAGAGACGGGACAAAATGTGGATCTGTGCATTGCCTTAGCAAACATGGATGTAGTGGGAGTCACCAAGGTTTTGACCTGTGTGTAAATTCTCAGGTGACCTGTGTCTTTTTCCCTTCTGCCTTCTTTTCCCTTCTGTGATTAATTGTGATAAATAGTTTAGGCTTCAATAATCCTGAAGCAGTACAGTGTAAATTCACTGATTGACATTCATGCAGACTGAAGTGAGTGGCTTCGTTAGGTCATTAGAGTAAGACATCCTAATATATAGTGGGATACACAGCCTAATGCAGGAAATACATTGGGAAGGGAATATCCTGTAGTGAAGTGAGGCAATCGATTGTTGAAAGTCCTAGCTACAGAGCGTGTTTTTCAGTGGCAGGTCCTTACAGGATTGATCTTTATAAGCGAGTCAGTTTAAAACATTGACAACACTTGGAGTGTTCTGCTTAAAGTCTCTTGGTGCTCAGTTATGTCAAGGTGCATGAATACCTTTCTCCCTTGCAGGACCTTTTCTTTGTCACTGAACCTGTTTCAGTGAGGAGCAATCACATTTTTTAGCACTGACACATTGTGTGAAGTTAGGTCTCAACCTGTTTTACTGGCTGGAGGATGAATCAATTACATACAAATTTGAAAAACATGACTTGTTATAACTTTTTTTTAATTGTTTTGCTTGAATACTTTTTCGTGACAGCAAAGAATGGTGTAAGGATGGCTAATGAGAGAGGTGAACCAAAAAAAGTGTAGTGAAAAAAAACAGCTGTGATTGTCCCAGCTCAGTCTGGCTAACTAGCCTCTTCCACTGTTGTTTCTCCTTTATTTTTGGAAGTCCACTTCTTCCTTTTCCTGTGTATTGTTTTCCTTGAGCATTTCAGACTTCCTTGACCTCTTCATTGTTTCAGACATCTGTCCCATTTGTCTTTCTAAGGTCCATGTACATATGGTAGCAACTCATGGGATCCTGGAGTTGTCTTACATAAATTTCTATGACTTGGGAATGTAACAGTCCACGCTTTTCTAAATGATACTTCTCTTGGTTGCTGGAAGAGATTGCTAGAGAATAATGGAGAAGTGCTGTCCAAATCTGGCACTGATGTGGCATCGTCATTTGTGTGCCAGTGATCTAGGGAGAGAAGGAGTAAGTGAACTCGGAAGTGCTGCCATTGATTTACCTGCACATGTTATGAATTGGTCATCACTGGCAAAATGATCTTTATCTAGAAAACAGGTATTTTGTGGCCTACTCAGTAACTGTTATCGCTAAATAGTGACTCTTTGCTATAATTAACTTCAGATTCTCAGCCTTATCAAGGTTTGCTAGTCTTCTGAATAATTCTTTGTAAAAATTATAAATTAGTTTATTATAAGCATCACTAGAACACCACAGAGCCTTCATGTTATTTGATATAAAGAAAAAGTGAGTTCATGCCATACCCTGTGCTTTTACTTCAATTAATAATTGCTTTCCTTTTCTATACAAGATTAATGCAGTAATTGCAGTTATTATAGATGCCATAATGTTTTGACTAGATGTATTCAAAGGCTTTATGGCAGAATTGGTGGGGGGGTGGACAGAAGCCTCTTCTTGCTTTATGGCTTATAAAGCTGTAAAATGTTTTTAACAATTTAAAAAAACCCCACACAGGCTGAGGTTGTCACTTCTGGATGTCATCTGGTTCAACCCACCTGCTCAAGCAGGGTCACCTTGAAGCAGGTTGCTCAGGGCCATGTTCAGTCAGGTTTTGAGAATCTGTATGGTTGGAGACTCCACAACCTCTCCGGGCAACCTATGCCAGTGTTCGAACATTGAAGAACTCCAACTGTTTACTCTTAAAAGATCGGGGCGGGGGGGGAGTCATGAAGGACTTCTGGAAGATTTGGAGATGTCTGTTATGTTTTCCAGTACTTTTGTAAGAGGAGCAAAATTTCTGAATTTTAACAGAATATAAGCGTTCCATAATGTTAACTGTCATCAGTAGGTGTTAGCAGAGGAATATTTGTGAACTAGCTGCCTTGCATTGCTTCCTTTACTTTTCCGGATTTTTCTTTTAAACTCCATTTTATTTGTTCTCTCTTCCAGACACAGATTCAATATCTAGTTAGTTGGAAAATAAGGCTGCTATTTAGCTGTCAGCCATTTGAAAAGAAGAAAGGCAGCCTTCTAGAAAATGTCTTCCTGGATGCTTATGTATTTTTTTTATCTTTTAGCTATCTAAATAGGAGACATGGAAATGTGACTGTGTATTTTCCTAAAATTTCTCTGTTCTCTTTTTTTCCAGGTCTGCTATTTCTGTTATGTGTATCCCAGATATGAGAGGGTTTTTTGTGATTTCTGAGCTTGGTGCTATCAGCCTCATGTGAACAAACTAAAACAAAAAGCAAGCTGATTTTTAGAAAACAAAATGCCACGAAGAAGGAAAACTGGTGGGAGTCCTACTTGGAAGAATGGCAATTCTGACAGAACTGCTGTTGCCGTATCCCAAGGGGACCCAAGCCGCTCAGTGTCACCAGCAGTGCATAGTGTCAGTAAGGAAGAGCTCTTCAACAGCATGTCAGAAATGTTTTCTGACTTAGATCCTAGTGTGGTTTATATGGTTCTGTCTGAATGTGATTTTAAAGGTAAATAATGTACAGTTGGCATTACAGTTTTGTTCCATACGCAAACAGCTCTTAACTAGGGTGACTCCAGAAAAGTTGGTGTGGGTGTTGCAAGTGTATTTGTGACTTTAGTTTTTAATGTGTAGGTGAGTCATAATATTTTGAAATTTTATAGCTCTTTCCATGCAAGATTCTCCAAGTTTGACAACGTTTCTGTGAGACTGGTAATTTGCAGTAGCAGTGTGCTCCATAAATGGAGGTACAGTTTAAGAGGCGTGTTCTGTGACACAGAGCAGGCAGTTGTAGAGTTGTGAGGAGAATCTGTTTTTTCCAATTAGTTTCTGTGCCATATCTGCTAGATGCATAAACTGTTTCTGCAGGAGAGGTATTTTATGTTCTAGATCACAATTTTTTAAGACAGTAGTACACCGTATGTGGTCCTGGCAGCATTTGCTTTTCCTAAATACTTGAATTGAGCTTTTGTTCTACTTTCTATTTTGCACTGTCATCTTGTCATCTCCACTGAGGATTAGTTTTTGCAGGATAAATTGTGTTTGTCATGTTGAATTCTCTGCAGCCTCGCTTGGACTGTGTTTCTCCCTGTGTATTCTGCCAAGCTACATACCCACCTCTCCTGACAGATTGTTTTCATGTCTGTGCCCAGTCCTTCCCATGCTTTTGTGGTTTTGAAATTCTTCTATATACAAGTTCATTCGCTTATAATAAAAGTAATGGATGAGATGCTGGATAGCAATATCTGAGGAATTATTTGGCAGGGGAATAAGTCATATATGGAGCATTTTAATCAATCTGTATGCATATGATCACATGTGATTAGCTGAGATTTTTCTAGGACTATTGGCAAAGAAGGCAGAGCTTGGCATTTTTTTATATGTATGAAAGCTAGGTAGCCATTAAAAAGGACTCCTTTTATTGCCGCTTTTACAGCAATAAATTGTATGGAGTTTATAACTTAATAGCTCCTTCATGTTTGTTGCTATGATTGTTATTCCTTTTAAAATTAAAATTGATAGAATTACTGATTCATGCTTTGAACTCTTAATAAGATTTACCTTTATCAAAATAACAGATTTATCTAGAAGCTTATTGGAGAATTCAGTAAACATGCTGAGTTCATTATTGTGTTGTACTATTAATAATAGTTTAAAAATTGAAATATTAGCATCTTTTCATATAAGTAATAATAAGTTGCTCTCATATAGTAGAGAAGATGGAAGGACAAGGAAGATTTTATTTAACGTGTGCAGAAATAGTTGCACTTCAATGGACTTAGACTTTTTGCTACACTGTCTTTCAGGAAAACAGAAACTTACCTTTAGCACTCAGATGATACTTGTGCCAGGTTTTCATTTTGTTCATGTTGATCACAGGCAACCTATACTCCATTTAGTGGCTTTACAAAGAATTAACGCAGATACTGGATTTTTCAGACTATATTAGGTGTGACATTTTCTGTTGGGCTTAGCCATAACAAACGTATTTTGCATACTTTTATTTCTTTAGTCCAGTAGTGTTTTTCAGTTCATTTTACACTATTTCGCCTGTATGAATAGGTTAGAAACGAGTATCCATTTAAACACCGAGTTCTGATTTTTTTTTCCAGTTAAACTTAATTTTTATACACTATTTCCTTAGTAATTTTTATGCTTATTTGGTTATTATTTTGCCATATGTCTGTACTGAGTTCTGCCTTTACCTCTAATGAGGAACAGATCAAGGAGTTGCAGAAGGTGTGTTAAAAGATGAATTGGTGAACTGTCTTTTGGTTGTCTCTTTAGTTGTGATAAATACTCCTTCAAGTAAAAAAATTGCATTCACATCAGCTTGTGTGTGTTCAGTTGACCATGCTTTATTCTCTTTACCTTATTCAACAGTAGAAAACGCTATGGATTATCTGCTAGAGCTGTCCACCCACGCCAAAGGAGTAGCATCTTCAAAAACCTTGGGTTTTGATTCAGTAGCATCACCACTAGCTCTTGTTAATCAGCAAAGATCTGTTGCAAATGAAAGAATGGGGGAAAGTACTGCAGAACAAAGTAATTCTGAAGAAGAAAAAGAAAAGGTCCTATCACCTGATGTGCAGCGGACTGAAGAACTGGATTCTTTAATAGAAAATCCCTTTCAGAGTTACTGCTTGAGTGATGAATTGCCTAATTCTGCAAATTACCAAATAGTACATAAACACTCTGTGGAACATGATGGCTTTAATGAATTTCCTGAGTGGGAAAAATCTGATTCAGGTTGCAATGTCCTACTTTTTCCACAGCAAACAGGGGCAAATAATGAGGTTTTAGAAAACTACTGCTGTTCTCAGCCACCAGTGAGTCAGCTGAGTGTCCAGCCAAGCTCACCAGCTGCATCAGACACTTTTGCACAGATATTGGAAGATTCTGATTTGTCAGAAAAATGTGTTCAACATGATGTAGCTTCAGAAGTCTGTAAACAATCGAATGGAGAAATATCACGTGGAAATTCTGAACAGACACAGGGTACTGTTTTGGATCAAAAAAGTGTGACTGCTGCTTCTGGTGAGTCCTCCCAAAGACCTCTGGAACTTGGAGTAGCTGTCACTGGAAATCCTAATTCAGGGTGCCTGGAACAGCATGAAGAGGTAGTGACTGCCTTTAACAGCCATGAGAGCATTTCTCTTCCAGAGGCCTATGTCTCTCTTGAAACATCCAGTTTCAAAACACCCAAACCTGCAGATTTTCAGCAAACTCAGCAGGGTTATAACTTAAATTTTTCTACACTGTCATGTCAACCTCAGCAACACTGGAATCTCATGGCTCCTGTGTTTTATCCATCCAGTGGAAGTCACAGCTTTGTAGCTCCTGCGGTTGTCAGTCCAGGGCAGTGGAGACCTGTTTCAGACTATAGGACTTTGGAAAAAGGACTTTTTTTTTCCTCTCCAGTGGTTTCAAATGCCTGGGATAGCAACCCTTCTCTGAAGGTATGGGGAAATCAAGATAGAAACTCAAAATTGAACCTCTCGCAAGCACAGCAGCCACCTGTTTGTCACATGATGAAAAAAAAGATGCACCTTATAGGTCAAGTACTTGTTCTTCTCAGAGGTGTTCCAGGATCAGGAAAATCATATTTGGCAAGGTAGAACATCTATATTGTAAGCTTCTAAAAGAAATCGCTTAATTGTGTACAGGATTTAATGCAGGCAGAGGCAATTTTCTGACATTTGTAAATAGTTATGCTTATACCCTAATTGCCAGCTACATGGTACATGCAGATGATGAGTAGTAATAATTGCAGAGAGCTGAGTTGCTTGCAGCTCCTTGACCTCTAGTGGAAATTTGAAATAGGAGGGGTTAGCTTTAACTTCTGTCACTAGCCAAAGGAGTTTATGTCAGCAGAGGATTATTGCAGTAGTATTACATCTGCTGTGTTCTTTCAGTCCCTGTTCATTTCGGGTGTTTCCTTCCAATAACATGGATGGAAATATGCCAGCTCTTTAAAGGCAAAAATTCCCCTTCCACTGCTGGATTTCTTTTGTGTAAGTAGTACGTGTGGAGCTTCTTGGGTTGAATTCTTGATTTCTTTTCTAACTCTCCAAAAGCCTAGATTGAGCTTAGACTCCTTCGGCTGGCACCTCAAGTATTTTGTGCAATTAAGACTGTATGTGTGAAAGTATGTCACTAGATGTAGATGGAAGAATACCTCCCTTGTTGTTTTGAAATGAGACTTGTAGGGAACCTCTGTCAGCTCTTTCCCCTAGATATCCTCAGCCTTTGGAAATGGAGTGAAATTATTATACTTTGCCTGGAGGGTGATTTTTTTTCCCCTTACCTAAATTTGCTGCTTCCATTCCAAATAATCTTGGTTTTGTGCAAGAGACTAAATACATATATGTATGGTAGCAGATATCAGTGCTGGGGAGGAGAAGGGGGGGAAAGCTATTTACTTCTTGATCTTTCACAGGACTTTGCTTGAGGATAACCCAGGTGGAATCATTCTTAGTACTGATGATTACTTTTATAAACATGGACAATACCATTATGATCCCGATTGCTTAGGGGAAGCACATGACTGGAACAGGAAACGAGGTGAGAAATAAATAAGGGATTAGCTTACTTGTTTACAGTTCAGTGCTTGTGTGCTGTTTAAAAAGCTGCCTGTCTTGTAATGCCTGTGTCACAGGACAAGCATTTATCCCATCATAGAAGTATTTTTTCATATGTGTGTGGAAAAAGAATATGAGCACAAACTCAGCAGTCATCTGTCCATTGTGTGTTTTGCAATTAAAAATGCCAGTGTCTTTGTGAAAAGATTGTCCTCAGATTTTGTCATGGTATGTATTATGGGTTGTGTCCCATTTCTGGAGTGGTAATCTGTACCATCTCCCAGAAATATTTCTTCTGAGATGAGCCATTATATATGCATACGCAATAAGTAATGACGATGTTGATACAAATAACAGTTACACAGATATTTTCCTGTTCTTGATTATTTTTTGTCCTGAGCACTAAATTGTTGGCGAATTTAAAACAAAATTATAAGAGCAAGACAGAATCAATGATTTTTTTTTTTTTCCCCCATAATCGGTGTATTTTTTGGTAGTGGCTCCTGCTAAGCTCACCATAGAACAACTCTTTTTAAGCTTGTACTTGCTAAATTTGAACCATGATCACTTTGCTACTGTCAAATTTCTAACCAGTGGAGAAATGGGTTAGTAAGAAATGTGTGATTCCACGATAACCGTGATTGTTCAGACGCATTGTAACTTAGCTACAGAAACATGGTGCTGTATCTCAAAGCTAGTGATTCTAAACATTTCATTACTATGTATTTAAATTACAATAATTCTTTTGATTTTTCATATTTTATACAGTTTACAGAGTGGACTAATCTTAAGACTGTTATAAAGCCAAGAATTTTGTATGCAACAAAGAAGTCCACTTTAAGGTGATCATGTAGTTTTTTTTAGTTTAATTTACTGGTTGATTAGTCATCTTGGTGCATTTTACATCTGCATTTTCATTCCTTGATTATCATACATACATTAATTCAAAAGAATAATGCCATATCTCAGTAGCTTTACATGTGAGGGGGGAATTTCTAAAATAAAAGCGGGCCTTGAAACAGATCAAGCTGTGGTAAGAGTTTACACAGTGGTTAATCATTATGGATTATCTACTTAAAAAAATATTACAAGTCTAGAGAATTAGTATAAATGTTACGTGTCCACCCTATTATAACGGAATTAACTATATCACATTCTTTTGTACATGTGTGTCTTTCAGCCAAAGAAGCATTTGAAATGAGAATCTCTCCTATAATAATAGACAACACAAACATACAAGCATGGGAGATGAAGCCTTATGTTACTTTGGTTAGTATTACAATTTGATCAATGTGAAAAGGGATTATTGACCAGCATGGCAGCAACATATGTTTTAAAATGAGATTGTCTTTCTCAGTCTAGCTGTTTTTCCAGAAGGAAGTCTGGAGTAAAAAAAAAAGTGTTACATGGAATCATAGTACCCAGTGTCATATTCTGTGCACGTCTGAGTATTGACCTGGCCTAGTTTCCAAGTGACAAAGCCAAGTGCTTTGCACTTGGGAGCAAAAATAAATATTGTTGAGGAAACTGAATTCTGTTCCTCTTTTATATGATCAGTAAAATTATAAGCTACTTTTAAAATATAATCAGCACTAATTAATGAGTGATGTTTGATGCTTCATGAAACTTGAAAACTCATTCTTGGTTTCATCCTAAATATGACATAGAGGCAGATACCAGCTGATGAGTTGGAGGGCTAGACTTATCAAATGTTGCTAGCTTGCTTGAAGTTACACAGATTTACTTAATAATTTTTATTGAAGTGATGTAATCAAAATAATGCACCTGCACTATTTTATGTTAGTAGTGTAGTGCTTTTATTTAGTGACTAAAAGTGACCAGCTTTTATTTAGTACTAAGTAAATGCAATCTACGTTTAAATTCCAAAGTTATGTTTAATGATTTAAATAACTTGGGGAACTCTGTTATAGGTTTCTCATACTCCAGTTTTCTGGAGCTTCTCACCTTTTTGCTTAATCATTTCTAGATGGGCATCAGCACTTTTAGACTCTAGCTCTTACTTTATTGTTGATCATTCATCATTTTGGTTGATGAATATTTAATTCATCAATAAATTCATAAATAAATATTAAATAACTTAATATTTATTTATGCTTACAGAACTGCATTATTTTATAAAATGGGTTCCGATTAACAGAAATAATATATTGGAAGGAATATTATAAAGTAGATCTGGGATTTCTCCTACCGTGGTACAGAAACACATCAGAGAGTCTAGTGTATAGAACTGACAGCTTTTGAGCAGATAGTCTACATATGCTGCGTGTGGTAATGGATTAGTGAGCAGTGGGACTTAACACAGATAATTTTTATTAATAATTTTTTTATTTTATTATCCTTGAATTTATTAACAATTGTCAGATTAATTTCATAAATTAAGTCCTTGATTTTGCTGTATACTGAAATAAAGATACAACAAAAGTTCTTCTAGGAAGTGCAGGGTTTGGTAAGGTGATAAGAATTTTTTCTGAAAACAGGAACAGGGAGAAATGGCACAGTACTCACAGTGTTTGTCCTGATCAGACTTTGGGCTCCTTTTCTGTCATGATGAGACTAGACCATATAAGGACCATTTACTTGCAGCCCACTCAAGTTTCCCACATGGCAGAAAGGCTGTCCACAATAGCTGTGTTAATGTAACTGAATCGCTTGTTTTGGAACTGGCTCACATCTGGTCAGCTCTGAATGTAAGCAGTGAGCTCTTTGTCTTGGAGAGGCGGTGTAGACATGTGCATACTATACCTGGAAGGACGAGATGTTCTGCAGTCTTGACTCAGAGGAGGTAGAACATTTAAAGGGATGAAAGAAAATAGTGATTTTTTTTTTTTCTGTGATCATGGCACACATTTAATTTTGTAGTAAAAGATGCATATACATGTTTTTAAAAATCTCCATTTATATAATCAGAAGTGAAACACTGAACTAAAGTATGTTATTCCAAATGTTTAATTGGTTTCAAAAAATACAAAAAACATCTTTAAAGAAGCGGGCTATACATGTTGTGTGCTTTTTCATAGAAATAAGAAATGGGTGATGTTGCTTGTTCTGTTTTATATCTGTTTTATTCAGGCTCAGCAGTTCAAATACAAAGTCATGTTCCGAGAACCAGACACTTGGTGGAAGTTTAAACCAAAAGAACTTGAAAGGTAAAAATGTAAAGGAAAATTTCATATTAGATTGTATATCTTTCACAGTCTATGAACTACGATTTTTAAAAAGGTATCGCTTAGTACAGTGGCTGGTGAAGTAGCAAGATACCAGTCAAGATTTTTGCGATAATAAGTAGCTTTTTAATTTTTTTTCCTACAATATTAACTTCTGTGAGATTTTATATGTACTATGAGATTTTTTTTCTGTCACTTTATTCTAATCACATACAAAAGATACTATTAGCAATAGATATTATGTAACGTTTTCATGATTGCAGTTCTTTTGCATTTAAGGTACAGTGACTGCTCCTTTGGGTTCCTGAGGTTGCAAAAATTATGTCAGTTTGGGGCTGTTTTTGCATCTGGCTGGTCTGTTGCCTTACTTGAAATGTTTCTGCTGTCACTGAGTTTAAGGCAATCAGCACCTCATGGCCTGAGAGGGACAAACCCATGTGCATCACCATTGTTGTTTACCTCTTCTTTAGCAGGACCTTCTACAGAGTCATCAAGCCATTACTTAGAGCCAAAATAGGCAAGATGTAAACCCTATATAAGTGAATAATAAAGTAGCTAGAAGATTGGCTGGATGCCAGGTTCAAAGGGTTTGATCAGTAGTGGTTCAAAGTCCAAGAGGAGGCTGATGTCCCTCTAGGATGAATAGTAGGGCCACTATTATTTAATGTCCTTTTTATGACTTGGATGTTGCGACAGAGTGCACTCTCAGCAGATTTGCAGATGATACTGAATTGAGCAAGAGTAATTTGTTCAGCCTTAAGAAGAAAGGAAGAATCGTATTGTTGTCTTCAGCTACCTTTTGGGAGGTTATAGAGAAGACTAAAAAGATCTCTTCTGAGAATTGTGCAAGGATAGGACAAAACAAACATAAGCAAGTTGGAACTTGGGAAATTTTGATTACATAAAAGAAAAAAACCTAAACCTTTTCTTTGAAAGGATGGTCAGGCACTGAAAGAGGCTGCCCAGAGAGTTTGTAGACTTTCAGTCATTAGGGATATTCAGAATTTGACAAGACAAAGCTCTGTACAACCTGATCTAGCTGTACCTCATCTGAGTAGGAGGCTGGACTATGTGACCTCCAGAGGTCCCTTTCAATGTGAATTATTTTGTGATTTCATAATATCTGTTGTCATCTGAATTTGCATGCTTAGCTTAAGGTTGGCCACTTTTCAAGCGAGGTAAGGGAAGATTATTTTCTTTCCTAAAATAGAACTTACACGTTTTCTCCTGTACCTTCAATTTCTGTTTTGCCATCTTTGGCAGGATTCACTTGTTCTGGGTGGAACTGCTGCAGAGCACATTGCTAGCTGGTGTTTAACAGAGTCAGTGAAAATTCCTAGTCAAAGGGTGACCAGAATAATAGGTGAATAGGTTTTCCTCAAGACTCAAGGAGTTCTTAGTTTAGCAAAACCAGAGAAGGAAGACTGAATTCAGAAATTTTCTGTACCCAGTTTGATATCCTGCATCGCTGTCAGGATCTGATATGGTGTGTTTCTGATACTTGTTTGAAGAAGATGCATTATTGGTACAGTTTTAGATTTTAGTATTAGGCAAAACATCCTATTGCAGAACAGGGCCACCAGGTGGGGTGGAGAAGTCAAGCGGAGCCACGATTTGTCTGAGATTCCCTGTTTGGAATGCCTTAGTGCACTGATACAGAAAGAATTGCTGTTTCACAGCTTTTGCCATGGCCCCCTGAATTCTCTGGTTAGTCTTGCTGTAAACTTATTATAATTAAATTATTATTAAATTATTCTTTTCTGTCATTGTAATATACAAATCTGAAATGTTTCTTTTCTTTTTTTTTTTTAATTTGTAGGCGAAACATTCATGGTGTATCTAAAGAAAAGATCAAAAGAATGTTGGAACGGTATGAACGCTGCCTTACTGTTAGTTCAATATTGGATTCTTCAGTCCCAGACAAATCAGAAACTGCTGGATGGAGTGAAGATCCTTGTCAGGAGGAAAGCCATAGGTTAGATTCTTTTACTAGCTTTGTAGTCTCAAATAAAAGGCTAAAAATGCAAACTTCATAGCAACGGAACCTGGATAATGCTGTTCAACAGTGCATGCATTAAAAAAATTAGTTAAATAATAAAAAGAAATACACTACATAGTTTTCTTAATTTTTAAGAATTTCAGGATTTCTAGAAATGAGCAGTCAAGGGGTCTAGTCAACTTTCCAATGCTTTTTGAAAACCTCCCAGTATGGCTGTGTGTTACTTTTCAATGAGCCAATCTTGACTGACTTTCTCTTATCTTAGAAATGTGCTCTTGGATGTATGTTGTAGATACAAAACACTTAAAATCTATAAAATGGTTTTCAGAAGAATGTAGTCCCAAATACGAGCAAATTACTATTTCTGAGTCTGTGTTTTGGTATTAGATGATGTCTTTGTGGTAGAACGTGGATTCTTTGTGCAGTAGTAATGAGTTATCTACTTGCTCTTGAGTATATTTAATTTAGACTTGTCTGGATTTGTGTTGGTTGTATATACTACTATTTTGTAGTGGCTAATCTGACTAATGCTGTATATGCATTATAACTGCATAGGAAATCAGATTTTATTGTAGTTATTATTTCATTTGTTTTTTGCATGCTTAATGTATTTCAAATGAAGTGGGCACTGATGATTAATGGAATGTAGTTGATTGTGAAAAATGGTATGACAAGAAATGGCACATCCTCTCCTAGTGAACTTCTAGACTTTCTTTAGCATTGAGCCATCAGGAAAGAGCAACAGTCATTAAATAAAAGCATATTTACCAGGTTTGCTGATCTGAAGGAGGAAATGTCTGGCAGCAGAGTGCTTCAGTGCATAACTGAATGCTGGGAATGGGGGAAAATAGACTCCTGAGAAAGTATTCTTAGCCCCATGCTGAAGTAAAAAAGGGATACTTACCAAGGAAAGTTCTGCTTTGCTTAGCTGCTTCTTTTTTATAAAGGAGTGTTGAGGTTAGGGCTAAGTCATCTTAAATTTGTTTTCCTCTCACTAGAGTTCCTCAGCTGGATGATTAGTGTCCTAAAAGGTGGTTTCTGGTCTGTAATTTGAAAATATTAAATAGTCAAGCCAAAATTAAATATGTGGACAAGTGCTTAAAGAAGGTTTGAAATGGGTTTATCTTTCATTCCAATTTGTCTTTCAGAAAGAGGGAGGCACATTCTGATGTAAAGGAAGAAAAACCTTTTGTTTCTGATGTGGAGCCTCTTGAATTAGCTGAAGACGATAAAACTTTTCCCAGGACTTCTCTAACGTTAGAAAGTAACTGTGATCCTGAACGTTTTCAGAAAGAGGAAAAAGAAATGGAAAATATCTTGGTGGAACACAATTCTGAGAACAGTACTGTTCAAGATGACTTGGATGTTTATTTATCAGATTGTGTAGAAAAAGAACTGTCCTTGGAGAAGAAAGAAGAAAAGGGAGAAAAAGTAGAAAAAAATACTGAAACAGATATGGATGAGGTTGATGTGACCATGACTGACGAGACTGTGTGCTTGCATACAGGAGGAGTTGAGGAACACAGTGATAACAACATTCTCAGAGTTCAAACTGAAGTTGAACAATCTGGCGAAATACGTACAGAACCAAAATCAACACAAAGTAAAAACATAGTGGAACCAAGCAGTTCAGCTTTTGACACGTCAGGAAAACCAGAACTACTGAACTTTCTGGGTGACTGGCCTGTAGAACAAACAATGGGACAAAGAGTCAAAAGAGCTAGAAGACTAGAAAAATCTTCTCTGAAGAGCGATACAGAAGGTAAAACTCCCAGTCAGCAGCATCCTGAGTTAGGAAAAGAGCAAACGGGCCTGCCTGGGACCTGTACTGTTGAAAAAGGACGTGAGGAAGAAAATCTAGCCTCTAGCTGTTCCTCTGTTAGTTCAGATAAAGTCACACCAGAATTGCAAATGATAGGACATTGGCCTGTCTCAGGTTCATTAGAACAGAGACAACAAAGATCAAGGAGAATGAGAAAGACAAGTCTAAATCAGTCCGATGAAGGTAGAAATACTGAAGGTGACATTAATAGAAATGCTCTTGAGACTGTAGATGTGCTTCGTGGGACACCTGTGAACACTGCAGAGCAACCAGATACAAAGAGTTTGCATATGCACCAACCTGAAACAGTAGCTAGTGAAACAGTAGGTGAGAAAAAACCCCAGCCAAATAAGAGAATAAGGAAACATCACAAATTAGCCCTCACTTTTACAAACAACAATTTGCTCCATCCCAAAGAAGAGGAGCACTTGTCTATGCTTAATGCAGCAGAAGAGAAACATGACACATGCTCACATAGACAAAAAAATAGCCATTCACAGACTGAATCACAGGACTTTGCTGTCCTGTGGAGGTTAGAAAAGAAAATGCTTTTTCCTGAGACTACCAAAGTATTGCATGGCAGACTAGACGGCTTCAAACCCAAAGATGTAGATAATGCCTCAGATTCTCAGGAAAAAGTACCCTATCGAGTTATGTATGATAAAAGTACACTTGTGGAAGAAAGTGAACTTATCAGTATTGATGAGTCTGAAAAGCTAAATATGCTATGTAAGCTCTTTGAGTCTGTTTCATTTGAAGCTCTGAAAGATCTGTATGAAAGATGTAACAAAGATATAGACTGGGCCACAGGTCTGCTGTTAGACTCTGATGAAAAGTTATGCAAAGATGTTGATACTGAATGCTTTCAAATAAGAGAAGCTGAGCCAGTTGTTGCAGACCTTGATTTCAAGGCGAGTACAAACTATGGTGAGAATCTCAAAGACTGCAAACAAATGCCACAAATAATTGGGGCTGGTGATATCTCTGAGCCTTCGGAAGACAAGAACTCATCACTTAGCATTGCAGAAAGTAGGGCTACCAAGTCAACTGTGACAGATGCTGATGTGTCTGACTTGTTGACTGCTACCTCATTGAATGATTCGTCGGAACTGAAAAATTCTGGAGATGCAGCCCTTAGAACTGACACAGGCAGCTCAGCAGCAGGTATCATTGAGCCATCCGTTTCAGGAAAGCAGAAGATAGAGTCTGAGAGTCCTGTTGAAGAAACTGTAAATAAGCCATCAGTCTCACAACTTGATGCAGGTTTATGTATACCCATGACTTTGCCTCATGGTCCTAACACAACTTCTACCAATTTGAAATTTGAATTAAATAACGAAAGTGACAGTAACCCTTCAGAAAGCAATGCAGAGAATTCCAAAGCAACTGCTTTGTTACTGGAAATGGATCACGCACCTCTGGTGAGTCCTAGGAGTGATAAAGAAACCCAGGGGAGTTCCAGGGAGAGATGTGGTAAAGAAGAAATTGAAACTCCAAGCTGGGATGAAACTAAAGCCAAGATACAAAGCCCTATACCAGCATCACATGAAGCCTTCAATATAGATTGCCTAGAACTAACATTACCTCCTGAACTGGCACTCCAACTGAAAGAAATATTTGGGCCTGTTGGCATTGATGCAGGTATGGGCATAATTATATCCATATTTTTATGAAAAAATTCAGTTTGGGTAAGAAAACCTTTCTTCCTTTGCCTGTGCTTTTTTCCCTTCATGCTTGATTTTTAGGGAACAGATTTGCACAATTCCTCGTGATACTGTTGTTTGCTGTTGTTAATCCAAAAATGGAACTGAACTAAGCGTGGCAAAAAATATAAATGCAGTAGTGCTACCTTCTGCCTTTATCTTTCTGTATATGCATGTACTTTAAAAGCATAAGAAAATATGTTAGCTTATATGCATTTTGAGGAACAGGCCTTTGAGCCTATATTCAGACTCTGAAGGGATATTAAGATGATGAAGAAAATGCAAATTATGACTGGTTAGGAAAAAAAGAAAAAAAAGCTTTAGGCATCAGTTAAATTGGGGAAGGAGAAAATGAATGGTTTAGAGAGAAGATAAAGTGTGGCTGTACTTAAAAGATGAAAACAGGCTATTCTGCTGAGAGACTATGATGAAGGAAGCCATAAGCAGCTTGAACATGCATCGCAAAAGTTAAAGACTGATAGAAAAAGGAAGAAAAGAAAACACAAGGAATATATGGCTTGTTTGTTGTCTCTCTTTTTTCCTTTTCTTTTTTTTTTTTTCTTTTTTATCTTTTCTCCTGAAGATTACTTGATGTGAAACCCTGGGTACCTGATTTATTGGTGGGTTTGACTGCTGGCCTCTTTGCCTTCCGTGCCTACCTCCTCAAAAAAAAAACCTGTTTGTTTTTGATAGCAGAAAGGTGTTTTATTGTGTCTGAAATATGCCCTGCCTTTTAATTTGATATATATGTACTTCTTGCCATTTTATTTTTGAAAGGGTGAGAAACAATATCAGAAAGATCTCTTAAGGAAAAGATATATCATTATGATACCATGATAATTCCTCCTGTTTCCTTTAGCGTTAGAGGGGATACTTGGAGTTTGCTTCTCTGAGTCTGTGTGTTTGAAAGGAGGGATGTGACTGCTGTTGGGCAGTGGCGAGTATGTTGTGTTACATAAAAGCAGTTGCCTGTGGATTGCAATAAAATAGGAGGAATCACGGTTTCACAAATGAAAATGTGTTGTAAATTAACAGGGGCTTTGTCAAAGGAGGTTCTGCTAGAAAAATGGAAAAAAGGAGGAAAAATGTAGTTGTTCAGGTAGTCATATTTCAACAAGCTACAATTAATGTTAACTTGTTTTTCCTACCCTTTCTGAGTTTTTGAACACCAGCTGATGAATTCTGTGTGGCATGTTTGGTTTTTTTTTTAACTTGGCAGTTGCTGAATTTTTTTCCAGGAATGAGTTTGTGCAGAATCTCCAGAATTCAAATTAGTAAGTCTAGGCTACTGTACTTTAATTGCTTAGATAAATTTTTATAGAATGCTTTAACAAATGTATTTTCTTTCTTCCATAAGGATCACTAACTGTTGAGGATTGTGTGGTTCATATTGATATGAATTTGGCAAGAGTGATTCATGAAAAATGGAAAGAATCTATTTTGGTTAGTAGATTTCTTGCTTATGATATGGTATGGCATGCTTGCGCTTTGCAGACCATTTGTCTCCTTATGTGTTGGTCTAAATGTGTAAGATATAAGTATCTTTGCGAGAACGATGATAAAATACAATAGTGGTTAGTAAAATATGTGGAGTATATCAGCATGTCATAATCATCAGAGCTGTTGAAAGACAGGTTAAAAGATGAAGAAACTGCATGTCATGAGTGCCTCATCACGAAACCAAGATTCTTAAACAAGAATGATCATAATGCCCAATTTCACTACAAGATTGATCAAAAATTCCACTGGCCAAAAATCATTACTGGCTTTTTGACATGTAAGAAGCATTATTTTATGAATAATTATGTATACAAAACATCTCTATGTACATTAATTGAGAAGAGTTCTCTAACCTCCGTTCCTTCTTAGCCTTATGAAACTTGGAATGCTTTTTGGCAAAATTTTTGTTTGGTTTATTTAATTAAGGTTATGAAATCTTAGTAGTGGGGCACGTTCCTCTAGCTTCATGTGTTTTCGGAAAGATAGTTCTATCAAACTTCACTTTGTAATTATTTTTCTTAAATATATTTCTTTTAAAATATCCAGTCTTTGAGAAATACTGTGAGACATTATTTTGAAGCTGGTTTACTTAGAAGCTAACACTTGCGAAGCTTCACTGCAAAATTTATACCTTACTTATAACATTCATGGTTTTACTATTTTTATTTAGAAGCGTCAGAGGAGAGATGAATCATGTAAGTTGTTTGCAGAAGGTATGTTATGTATTTCTCTTAATTGTAAAAAATACTTCAGTAAGGTTGCAAATATTCTGTCTATTGAAAAATGAGGGATTCATTTATTAAGCTAAGCCCTTGGTTCTGTTTACCATTTTCTTACGGAGGTGTGTGGGGAAAAGTAAGTTAATTATAAGCAGAATCACTAGTCCCAGGTAGATACAAGCAAAAGCCTATCATTTGTGTACTTCAGAGAACTTAAAGAGACGCTCCGTCTGTTCAGTAGGACTTCTGTAATCTCTGCAGCAAGAAAAGGTGCGGCCAGAGAATTACTAGCAGAATAAGATTTCTGCAGGTGAGGGGAAGGAGGTCAGGAATACAACATTCACATGTTGTTGTCCTTGTCAGAGGAATTGACTGTAGCAGGAGGATGTATGTCCTTGCTCAAAAAGTATTAAAATCTCTAGCAATCTAGTTTTCATTCAGCTCCCAGAAGAAATGTCCCTCTACAGCAGAACCCCACTACTCTTGCATGGGACCTGGGTGAAGACTTGGATTGCAATGTGGGTGCAAACTCTCCACTCGAATGGCCAAACAGTGCTCTTAGCATTAACTCATAGAAGTGTAAAACCATATTGTTAAGCATCTGTCCTTAAGTTGTAGAGGAAAGGCAGGTAAATGTGTAAACACGAGTCAATAATTCTCTTACAAAAGCAAACAAACCTCCCCACTTAACGTATGTGCAAGGTAATTTTCAGCTGTAAATGTGTCTTGGCACGAAATTTTGGCATGAAAATTTGGTGAGGGAGTCTGATGGTTTGCTTTTGTTTTACAAAACAGATAAAGATCATCAAACATTCTTTGGAAAATACAAGTGAGGAAGGTGAAAACAATGTGTTGTTTTCTGTTTTTAGCATTAATAATACTGTTTTAACAAAACCTAAACCATCTAGGTTGAAAAACTTAATTATTTCAGCTTTGCTTGTATAAATAAGCTAATAATTGTTTTATTTGTCACCTCATTTTTATTGCTTTTGAAGGTCCTACTGTGATTCAGCAGATAGATACAGATGACTCAGAAATGCTGTTATCTCAGAATGCAGACAGTAAAATACAGAAGAAAAAAACGAGCTGGGTTTCAGGCTCATCTAATGACATACAGACTAAAAAACCAGCAACATCAGACGTTTTTCCTTTTATGGATCACTGGAATGCTCAGATTCAGAAAGTTTCTCTCAGACAAATAATTTCCGAAGAAATAGCTATGCAGGAGAAACAGGACCTGGTATGGATAGCACCAGTTTTTTATGCAGTTTAAATTAGTTACTATTAATGAAGCAGAATATATCTTACCTGGTGACTCATCTTTGTGCTGCTGATTACAGCCTGAATTCATGAGACAAATGCATGCCAATTAGTATTGTTGATTACTGTGATACAGGAGTTTGCTTGTGGTAGATGTTTCTGTTTTAAAAATATAAATCTCATTTTAAAATGTGGTATTTTGATTGTTTCACAAACAGATCATGGTGCATTTCACTATACAGGTTAGCATTTGTGTTCAGTTGAATTGCTTTTGGATTGCTCACCTAAAAACAAAGATCAGTGTGATTTCCCACACTTTTTATTGGGAAAGCAATATCAAAAAAAGTTCTTAATTAGCTCCATGCCTTGTTTGTTTAGAAGTGGATTGAATTGATGTTAGTATTTTTTGTAAGGAGAACCCACAACATTCCTAACAGATGACACATTAAAAGAAGTACTTGAGGTTAATCTCAAACAGGTTTCTGTACCCACTTGTCAGAAAATAGTAATTTTTTAAAAGACTTTTATCAATACTGTATCTTCCACACAGTTCCCATACCCTGTCTGGTTGGCATGTGTATAATAGTGCCCTCTGCTGCCCGGCAGTTGTTCAGAACAGGCATTTTTATTTGTAATTGTCTCTGCTAAGTAGCTGTCCTAAAAAAGAGGAGCTTTGTTTCTACTGGTGTAGAAAGTTGGATGGATTAGCCTGTACTTTGAAAGAATGGCTTGTGGATTCTTTCTTTGAACTGCATGTATGTGGCTTACTGATAATAACAACTGTGATGTCCACAGCTTTATTTTCAGTTTGGATCCATGGAGCTTGGCTTTGTGTTGACCACTTTTTTTTTTTTTTTTTAAATCTGAGTATTGGAATGATCAGTCGGATTTATTCTGGGCTGTAATTATGTTTTCTTCTTAGCATGACTTCACAAATATGAATATTTATTACAGTACTGCTTCAGATACACCAAAACAAAATTATTTATGCTGTTCAATAATAAAATGTTGGTTCAACCCCAGGCCCTCAATGTAGAGTAGAGAGGTGGACTTTGCACAAGCTCAACATCGGACTAGAGAGACTAGCAGGGAATGCATTCCAAAAGTTAAAATTCCTCCTAAAAAATCCTTGGTTTGCTTTGTCCAAGTTATGAGGGAGCTCCAGCTGAGTTACTTCAAACAACTGCAGAGTACTGCAGTGATGTCTGCAGGTGAAACTCACCTGTCCCTACTTTATTCTCATCGAATCAGTGTGGCAGGCTGATACTGGCATGTTGTCACTGCTGTGGGTGCATACCTACTGAGTAGATTTTTTTTGAAATCTGAACAAATAATAGTAAAGTTGGAATGGCTTTGCTGTTACTATATTTTGTTCTAATCAAAAACTTGTAATATTTTTCCTTTGTCTTCTGGGTAGAATCGTGTTCCTTCTATGGCTAGAAAAGACTGTGCCGCTAAACTAAAGGAGAAGCAACTTTTTGAGATGTTTCCAACTATTAATCAAAGTTTCTTAATGGATGTCTTCAAGGACAACAAGTAAGAAATCTTTAAAGTTCTTTGTAAAAATGGTGCTCAGTAACACTCTGTAGTACACAGTTACTGTCTTAAATATTGAGTTAAGATACTGCTAAAGAATGGGTTTTTCCAAACTAGCACACTTTTTGTAGATCTAAATAAAGGCAAAACTAGCTGGTCTTAAAAGCAAAAAGGGCATAAAAACTCTATGCGTAGACTTGTTTGGTTTTTGGGGGAGTAGGCAGTTTCTCTCATTGGGAGAAGAATGTCTCTGGCTATTGACATCAGACTGACTGCCAGTGGAACTGCGTATTTGCTTGAGCTGAGGTTTAAATCAAGTGGGATAAATTAGTGGGGATGGTAATAGTGGGTTCACAGAAAATGGCATCCACCCAGGAGGAACATCACCTGATGTTAGCTGTGAGTACTTTCAGGGTTACTACAGCAGCTCTGAAGGAATGAGCCATGTCTCCATCTCTTCCTGCCTGCTGACGTTCTCTTTCTCTTTTCTGCATTATATTTCTGGGGTATGTGGTTACCTTCTTAAATCCAAGTTCCTGAGAACTGAACTTTTTTTCAAGAGAAACTTCTTTTTTCATCCTTGGCCAACTGAATATCTGTCTCTACATATGGGTTTGCATGCCTGTTTGTCAGTCTTTCTGCTTGTCCAGCTTGTTATCAAAACCTTTCCTTGTTGGGATGTTTAAAATACGTCCTTCATCCATCTCTACAGCTCTAACATTTCACCATCTCTTGTTTTTCACGCTCTAAATTCTCTTCCTAGTGTTGCCTTTCCCAAAATCTATCTTTACTTTTGATCAGTCTTCCTCTTGTCTGCTTACTGAACAGCAAGAAGAATAAAGAAGAAAGAGGGCTTATTAGAAATCTGATGGCAACTGATGTCCTATTCTTATTTCATTAAATTTAATAACAAAGCTTGACTGGAAATAAAAGGATTTTCCTGCATAATGGTTTCAGAAAACTAGCTAGTTTTAAACTAGTTTGTACTGTCTAACCCTGACGAGAGAAGATTTAAGATGAAGTAACTTATCCAGCCCAAAAAGCAGTGTTTACTTCTAAACTAATTTCTGTTTGATTAAGGTAGGATGCAATTTACTTCAGTATTTCATTGTCCTTTTAATATTCAAGTGCCCCTCAATTACATTTCCAAATCAACCAAGACTGCATGTGTGTTGATGCCAGTAATGCAGTACAGTGAGTCTACAAGCCTTTTTGTAATAAGGTGGAAAACTCCATTTCAGTGCTTTATTTCCATTGTCATCTATTTCTGTAACAATATCAAGGTTTGTAACATGCATTTTAATAAATGTAGCAGCTATTAAAGTATTTGTAAAGTCACAGATTTTACTTATCCTTTACAGCTACTCTTTAGAACAAACTGAACAGTTTCTGAACTGTGTTCTGGAGGCAGATCCTGTAAAAACAGTTATAGCTCAAGAAAGCGTTCAGCAAAATGAAATTGTTTCTTCCTACAGTGCTGCAAAGAACCGGGAGAAGAAGGTATTTTTTTTTTTTTAAATAGTAGTTACAAACATATCCAAAGCTATGTTAATGAAAACACCCTACAATGCATACTTAGCTTCAATGTTGCAAATTCCTACAGGCAAAAAAAAGTAAGGAAGAGGATGATCCTTTGAGGGAAGTATTTCAAGATTTTGAGTATCCACAATATGATGATTTAAGAGCAGAAGCTTTTTGTCACCAGCAAAAGAGACAGGAATGTTTGAAAAAGGCTGGGGAGGCCTATCGCATGGGTATGAAGTCTGTGGCAGCATTTTATGCACATCAGGTAAATGTAAATATTGTGCTTTTTGCTTGAATTTAGAGAGGTACTTAAATACTGAATTGGAAGTGATAAGAACAATGTTGTGCCTACTAGAGTTGATAAATTTGCTCAATTGCTGTTCCCTGTGTAAGTGTTATGTCGAGAATCACCTTACAAGTAAAATCCCTTTCACTAGTAATGATACTGATACAGGAAGCTAATGTAACCAAATTTAGTGCGAGACCTCATGAAATGAGATCCATCCGCAGGTCCTGAAGGAACTGGCGGATGAAGTTGCTAAGCCACTATCCATCGTATTTGAGAAGTCGTGGCAGTCCGGTGAAGTTCCCACCGACTGGAAAAGGGGAAACATAACCCCCATTTTTAAAAAGGGAAAAAAGGAAGACCCAGGGAACTACAGGCCTGTCAGTCTCACCTCTGTGCCTGGGAAGATCATGAAACAGATCCTCCTGGAAGCTATGCACATGGAGGACAGGGAGGTGATTCGAGACAGCCAGCATGGCTTCACCAAGGGCAAGTCCTGCCTGACTAACCTAGTGGCCTTCTATGATGGAGTGACTACATCAGTGGACATGGGAAGGGCTACAGATGTCATCTGTCTGGACCTCTGTAAGGCCTTTGACACGGTCCCCCACAACATCCTTCTCTCTAGACTGGAGAGGTATAGATTTGATGGGTGGACTGTCCGGTGGGTGAGGAATTGGTTAGATGGTCGCATCCAGAGGGTAGTGGTCAA